GCCAAACTATCAATTTCGATCATATATAATTAAGAAGCCTATCTCACCACGATTGTGACATTGGAATTTGTAGAACACTTCAGATTCTAAGTGTTTCTTTTCTCTCAATTGTACTTCCACAAACCTTTTTGGTTTTCTAAACCTAGAGTTATGACAAAGTTGGAAAAAGTTGTATTTTGGTACATTCTCTTGCTTCTTCCTGCTATAGTATTAGGAGAATGTACATGTGAATCTGAGGATGAAGAAAGAAACAAAACTGAAGCACTGAAATATAAAATGGTAGCAATCGCTACCATTTTGGTAGCCAGTGCAATTGGGGTTTGTATTCCTGTACTAGGAAAAGCAATTCCAGCTTTGAGCCCAGAGAAGAATTTCTTCTTCATAATCAAAGCGTTCGCGGCGGGTGTGATCCTCGCGACAGGGTTTATACATGTACTCCCCGATGCATATGAAAGCTTGACATCGCCATGTTTGAAAGAAAATCCATGGGGAAATTTTCCTTTTAGTGGATTTATTGCAATGGTTTCTGCTATGGGAACTCTTATGGTGGATACTTATGCAACTTCATATTTCAGAAACAAAAATGACACGAAAAATGGATTGGTGGCTCAGTCTGGAGATGAAGGAGGAGCTATTCATGTTCATTCACATGGCCATGCACATGGTGCATCATCAATGATGGGTGATTCTAGTTCTGAGCTCCTTCGTTATCGTGTTGTATCTCAGGTAACCCTAACTCCATTATCACTTACTCAAAAGAAATGGCGAAAGCACAAATTTTTTGTAATCAAGTCAGCAATAGCATGGACATAAACAATTTTCAATGCCGTAGAGATTTGAGAATTTTATACTGAAGTCAACAATATGTTATCATAACGAGAACTTAAACAATATATTTTTCAACTCATCAGAAAAAAAGGGAAGTTTTTTCGGATAAGCTATTTTATTCGTGGATAATAGAATGCGCGGAGCTATTTTCATTGATAATTCTTGTTTCTTCCTTTTTGTTTATTCTCCCCTCACTAACCCTCGTTGTCGTATATATTTCCAATTCGCAAAAAATAAAAAAAGATGTGAGAGGTTGACCATGGCTGGTCAGAGGAGAGGTAGAGGGAGACCTAAGAAATATTGGGGAGGGGTGATTAGGTAGGACATGGCACTACTTTAGCTTACCGAGGACATGACCCTTGATAGGAAGGTGTGAAGGTCGAGAATTAGGGTTGACAGGTAGTCGAGAGTCTCTTGTAGTCGTACTAGTAGTATTAGTACTAGTCTTGTATTCTCTTATTCCGAGTTACTTGCATTGTTGTTAGACGATGTGGCATTATTGCCGGTAGTTTTCGCATTTCTCTTATAGCTTCGTATTTCTAGATTCTTTGTTGTTACATGCCGTGCTATTTGTTTCTGTTATCTTATTTCCTTGTCGTTGTTACTATTTGTTTATTGTGTCATTTTCACTGTTCTTGAGCCGAGGGTCTATCGGAAACAACATCTCTTCCTTCATAAGGTAGGGTAAGCTCTGGGTACACATTACCCTCCTTAGACCCCACGTGTGGGATTGCACTGGGTTTGTTGTTGTTGAAGTGATTTATAGCCACAAAGCATATATGTGCCTCATTTTACACAAGTTCAACAATTTTCTCTCTTTTCTCGAACTCCATATCTAGTTAAATAGATTCACATAAATTAAAACAAAGGGAGTAACATTTATTTTTACATTATTTGTTTATAGAAGTTAAACTCTATTATCATTAACATTTCTCCCGGGGCATGCAGGTTTTGGAGTTGGGGATAATAGTGCACTCTGTGATAATAGGAATAGCTTTGGGTGCTTCTGAAAGTCCCAAAACCATAAGGCCTCTTGTTGGAGCTTTGACTTTTCATCAATTTTTCGAAGGCATGGGACTTGGTGGATGCATTGCTCAGGTAATATATATATATATATATATATATATATATATATATATATATATATATATATATATATATATATATATATATATATATA